CCTATTATTTGGGGTACCCCAAAAGGGACCATAATTTTGACAACTACCCACCTGAGGGATCTCCAAAGATCCGCAGGTGCAAAGCAGCAACGCCTGCGTGGTGCCCGAGTCAGACAGAGCCTCGACCCTATCCTCGGCACGCATCACACGCAAGGATCCCTTGAAGGAGAGCTCTAACATCTTCGCAGCCAGGACCATGTAGAGGGAATAAGCCGCGGCCTGGGCCTCCATGTGAGTTGTGTCCGCTAAGATAAGGTACGTAGTCCCCTCAACACTCGTTTGCGAACGGCTTTCCGACACGACCGAGGAATGCTTTACCGTGACGTCATTGCCGACTAGCCATCCGACTGCCTGTGTAAGCATCTCCGGATCGCAGCCCACGACGTCAGAGCGCTCCAATGAACTGCACCATGTCAGTGAGTCTCGAACCTGTTCGAGAGTTATTCCATGGACAGCAAGCTCCCTCACCCTTGGCACGAATTTCTCGTAGGCTTCAACAAATTGCTGGTCAGGCATCACAAAGCCGGGAAGAGAAAGAAGCACAACCTCAACGCCGTGGGCCTTGGCTGTCACCACATCACCGACACACCACCTCTGCAGCAAGAAGTCGCGGCCTGCAAGGGCCACCAGCGTGTCGACATCTTGGGCAATGCAGGTGAAATGCTGCGTTAGATCAGTCAGATCATCCGAGCCGATAAACGTCCGCAGGTTGTGCCTTTTCTGCAGCTCGATCTTCAGCAAGCGTGCCAATGTCCCTGCTTCGGGCGTGTGGTGGCTGAGGGCGAAACGGAAGTGCTGGCGCTTTGAAAAGCGGCGCCGGGCGGCCCAGAGCACAACCACCGTGCCCCAAACAAGCATGATACCGCTAGCCACGATGCAAATCATCATTAATGTGTAGCCATCTTCTACGGTGGGAGCATAGAACTTGCCCATGTCCAACACGAGCAGGGAGCCAGCATGCATCACCAGATCCGTGTACGTGGCCAGTTTCGTCCGCCAGGGCTGCCAAAACGCCACCGCACAGAATGTGATGTACAGGGATGTGCAGAGCACCAGCAGACTGCCGGCCTGGGATGTAATCAGAGGAGACAACGTTAGGAGGATGTTCCTGAGCAAGACAACCACCGCGAACGCCTCTACCCCCGGACGGTATCGCAGAACCAGGAAGGAACAGGCATTCACAAAGCCGACGTCGGCTTTTTGAATGCGCTTCGGAAGATCGAAAACAATGATGCGGACACAGATGGAGAGAAAGGCAATCGGAACCGTACCTAGTTCATGGTTGGGGTAGTATTAAGAATTTAAATGTATATTCCTTATTGGGTTTAAGTACCCTTAAAAATGTAAGATGTTACCCAACTATGACAAAGGTACAGAGGGCCATGGCAAAGAGGCAGATCTCCAGGTGCTCAGCACGGAAATTGCAGAGCACGTCATGACGGGACTGCATGGTCCGGTCTCCGTTGGGATGCAAGTTGCAATAGAAAGGCTCCAGAATTGAAGACAGGATTGAAATCAGGAAGAGCATGGAGAACGAGCCGCAGGTCTTCCCCAACAAATCCAGGCGCAGCCCACGCCTGCGCCAGCTGATGTATGCAGAATGCACAAGGATCAAGGACAAGACGAAGGCCAATGGAAGCAAGGATGCGGCTGCCAGGTACTCTTCCACTGCTGAGGACGGGAGAACGCATTGAATGGAGCTGAAAGAATACACCAGCGCATCCAGTGACAGGAACTCCGATGCCAGCAACAGAAGGGAAAAAGGCTCCTGCGCGAATGAGACACACAGATTGCTTTGAAGCTTGGCTCTGCTCCTGATTACGGCTTACGGGATCTCGCCAAAACAGAACGTGTACATTCAAACTAAGCCCTGAGGGTTCCGAATCTACCAAAAACAAGCCACACCATGAACCATGACGAGGCCTCCCAGGGAACCCGCAATCTGCGCAGCACGCCAAACACCTGCGCGCACGTCACTAGTTGGCTCAAGCCCAAGGCTACATTCAGCAGGCTCCCGTGCTGGCTGCCATGGCTGGCGAACTTCTCCTCTGCGATCAGAGACGCGTGAAGGCATCCCACAAAGAAGACCCCAAGCAGGCAGAGGCCAAAGACGATGGCAAAGTCCGTTGCCGCACACTCGCGGCACTGGCCATCTGCTTGTGCCTGGAATCCCGGCAAGCACTGGGCACAGGCAAGGCTCTGGTTGCTGCGGCCTGCTGCGCAGCTGCCAGGAGGGCCACCCTGGCAACGCTGCTCCAGGCCGAAGCAGCGGAAGACGTTGCCCGGATGCTCGGGAAAGGCAAAGAAGCCGGGGTCGATTGTGAGGCTCGTAGGCCCCAGGCAAGTCGCGCCCTGCAGGCACAACTCGCATCGGCCCTGCCAGAAATGGCGGCCTTCTACACAAACGCAGAAATCCTTGGATGTGGCCCCAAGCACTTCAATCCAGCGACCACGACCATCGCTGCTCCCCTCGTTGCTCACCAAGTCCATGGTGGTCCAGGTATTGTCCCCGCAGCTGGCGCAGGCCGTGCGACCTTCCTGGTCTGCAAAAGTGCCCAGCGGACACAGGTTGCATGCTGTGGCACCCGTCTCATTGGCGAAGCTGCCCAACGTGCAGTCGTTGCAGGCAACTTGGTTCGGGAACTCCTGATAAGTGCCCGGGGGGCACGTGGCACAGCGGTAAATGAAGCCCTGGCCATCCAGAAGAGGCTCCGAGAAACGACCAGACGAGCATGTGCTGCAACCCACAGCATCATCTCCACGACTGAGAAGATATTGGCCACCTCCCAAACCCCCAAAAGGATCCAAAAAATAGATCCCCTAAATGGGTTCCTATAAAGTACCCTTTAGTAGTTAGGGCAGTTAGGGTCCCTAATTAGGGGATCTATTTTTTAGATCCTTTTGGGGGTCTGGGCTGGGATGGGTTCTGTCAACTCATGTCTCGATCGCCAGCCCCGAAGAGATTGAACCAACAAAGCTTCCTCACATGCCAACCTGCATCGACAAGACCGGACCCTGCATCGCACGTCATAGGAATCCACGCCCTCCACAAAGACTCGCTGGATCGTACCCAATCGCAGGCCAAGCGATAGACTACGTCGTCTCCTGCCGTTGGAGTACCACCGGCAGAGATTCCGGCCACAGACAGGAGCTGGTTCAGCTCTTCCAAGATCCCAGTACTAAGAGAAAACCGCTCGATCAGGGTATGTACTCGCGGTGCCTTGGCCTGGAGATTCGAGCTTACCAGCTTGCCAACATACCCGGGAGGCTGATCCGTCCTCTGGTTCCCCACGGCCCACTCGCTAGCGTTGTAAACGGGGAAGAGCAGAGGCACCTTCTCTACCCCAAACCTGAGATGAACGGACAGTATCTTTTTATTGCATTGTGGATCCGTTCAGATAAACGAACACTCGAAACAGCAAACACTCGTGTTCAGCCTCGACACTCGTAGTTCTCCGGCTCCCACCAGTAAAATAAAGTGTTCCCGTCTCTCATTTTGGCGAAGAAATCTTGGATTCCTTAGATGCTGGGTTCATAAGCCCAGAAAAGTGTACACTTTGAGTTTTACAGTAGGTAATATTATCCCAAAGAGTGTAAAGTGTATCCACTCAGCTACCGAGATTCGACTGTAGTATCCCACGGCCAGAGGGAGGCCATGGACTGCGGACCTCAACTGTCAGTCCCCAGGGACTCCAATACCCCTTGAATTAAGGAATAGACCTTAAATCATAGTAGGATCCCTACTATGATTTAAGGTATATTCCTAAACCCTAAACCCTAAACCCTAAACCCTAAACCCTATTCCTTAATTAAGGGGTATTGGAGTCTCTGGGTCTTTTACCCTGAGTTGTGTTGCCCTTCACGCTTCAGGGAGGGACCCTGGGGTTGTAGAGGCTTGGTTATGGCTTAGGGTTTAGGGTTTAGGGTTTAGGGTTTAGGGTTTAGGGTTTAGGGTTTAGGGTTTAGGGTTTAGGGTTTTTAGTAGAGGGACTCATCTATCATCTGCTTGGGCGGTGCTCGGGTGGCTTGGTTTCTCTGAGTCTTTGGGGCCAGTTCCGAAGAGCGGCCAGTGCATTATGGAGATCAAAGGCAAGCTCCAAAAAGTGGCCATAGCAATGCAGCTTGTCAAATTGCTGCGGCAAGCCGGTGCGATCCAGACGTGCCCGTCCGGGCAAAAAACTGTCTTGGTTCCGTCTGCGTCTTGAGTGACTCCATCTGCGTCGCCAGTCCAATAGACATAAGACTCCAACTCAGCAGCGACGGGCAGCCTGCGATTGATGGTGCGGTTGCAGGGAAGAAGGTCACTGGTATTCAACGCGTCGATGCCATCGAAATATTTCCTCGGGTCGTGAAGCGTGGTGTTGTAGCTGCCGTGCAAGTTGAGGATGAAGCCGTCCTGTCCCAAAGAAACAACAACATATCATATCATAATAGTATAGTACTATTGCAGTATAGTATTATTATCGTACAGTAACTACTATTATAGCAGAAGATGATCATAGTATAGTAACTATGATTATAGTAGAAGATGGCCTTCTGCTAGGGGACAAGGTTCACGGCTGTGGATTTGAGGCTCGGGGTTCAGGAATTAGGTTTGGAGGTTGAGGGCTCAGGGTTTTTGTATTTAGCGTGTATACGGCTTGAGGCAGCACAGGGTTTACCGTGAAGTGACACATCGGCGAAAGCATCTTGCGACAGCGCGATTTTGAGCGTATCGTGCTGCGGCTCTTGAAGCTTCCTCTTGCGCACTGGTCCTAAACCCTAAACCCTAAACCCTAAACCCTAAACCCTAAACCCTAAACCCTGAAAGAGAAGAACGGGCCTGGGGCCAAGAGGCGAATCGCAACTCCCGGATCTAGCGGCCGTGGCGTGTTGCACCAGAACCAGAAGTTGCTGTCCAGAGAACTCCGGTTGGGATTCCAACAAAATGCGAGCTCGGATACACATGATCGCCCTACCATTCCACCATAAAACCCAGCATCCGAAGTCAGCCGAACCTAGCGTTTCTACGGGACCACCACCATGCAAGCTCGTGTAGGCCTGAGTGAAAGGCGGCACACACTGCTTCTGAGCAACTCATTCAGCAAGACAGCAAGGCACAAGAAGTACAAGTATATAAACCTCTACAAGACGAGCTGCACCCGGCGAGATGACTACCTGCGGTCAACGAAGCTCCAACCCGAGACCCGTCGGGCCCTAACCTTCAACAGCCTGCCCCAAAAAAAAACAAAAAAGCCAGGCGAACACAAAATCCGAAGAGCCCCCCTCAAACCCTCAAACCCTAAGACCCTAAACCCTAAACCCCTCCCGGTCCTGCAAAGCCGTGTCTACCTGGGATCTTTTCATGAAGATGCGCTCTCGACTGTGATACCTGAGACACTGCCGACGGTAACATGCTTGGCAAGAGGACTTTCAGGTTGGCTTATTGACCCAGAGACTCCAATACCCCTTATTTAAGGAATATACCTCAAATTATAATAGGATCCCTAATATGATTTAAGGTATATTCCTTAATTAAGGGGTATTGGAGTCTCTGGGGAGTTCGAGGGATGGCTCTGGCTTATGTATGATCAAACGGTACCCTAAACCCTGAACCCTAAACCCTAAACCCTAAACCCTAAACCCTAACCCTAAAAGCCTAAAACCCTGAAAGCTTCACTTTCAACCCAAAAATCTTCGTCAACTCTGAAGGCCAAGGGCCCCATGGAGCCCAGATCCCTCGGGCTTCGCTGACAGCACGCTTCCAGCGAGCGGAAAAGATTGGTAAAGTAGAGCTCATAAGGCAAAGCCCCAAAGCCTGCGCTCTGGTGGCACGTTTCCGAAAATGTAGTTGGGGGGCTTTCTGGGTCCTTCAGTCTGAGATTCTGAGTGCTTCAAAAGGGGTTTCTACGATGTTTGTTTGTGTGCAAACGGCACATGGATCTGAGTGCTGACAGATGGGGGAGGGGGCCTGTGTCCAAAGCGATGTGAACTCGGTTCTCGCCAGGGATGCACAAAGAATCAGCAAGCCATCCAGCACTAAAGTTCAGATCTTTGCACGACAGCCATGACTGCGCTTCAAATGGCCCCCGGTTCTCATACTTGAACTCCACATGGTAGCCCAACTGCTCGGAGATCAAGATGGCGGCAATGTGCGATTGCACAAGGGAAGATGACCGCTGGTACGCGAAGATGCCTATGGGGAGATTTTGACCGCGCTCGTCCTGTATATATGCACGGCTTTCGTTAGCAATACCTGACCTCAGGCACAAGTCAAAAGCGAAGACCCGCACTCGCAAAAGCAGCACCAATGGCACGCAAAGCCAACCTGCGAAGCCGTTCGCACGCATGGCCACCAGCATCAGTAAACTCAACTACCTCATGCGACACACTCTAGACATATACGTATGTATAAATGCACATACCCATCTAATGTTGCTTGGTTCTAGAATACCTTCATTCATGCACTTGTCTGTGAAATGATGATTTGTCGTTTTGTATGGTCTTATGGCAAACACAGCGCTGCTGAGCCAGGGAACACGAGAATTGTATAGAATTGTCTAGAACTGTCGGCCCACTTCAGTACGCAACTTACCATACGTACCAAGCGTTCAACAGCCCGAAACAAAGGTGTTTAGAGCTAGGGGTTCAGAGGAGTGGTTGCGGCAATGTCTGAGAAGATTGCGGAGGTACGGGGTTACCTGCCTTCACAACAACTTCCATTCGGACTCCATCCAACCAGGAGCAAAGTCTGAAGAGTCTTTTTCACGAAGCTGCAGAACACATCCAGCAACTTCGAGGTTTCCAACACTGCCGCTAAGTTCATTCAGCGTGTGACAGAAGACATCAATGGTAGCAGCACATCATCGATGAAGGCTGAACTGTGTGGCCATCCGTCAAACTGCGGGCCAAACTGAACTGCCCAACCAGATCAGTCATGAGGATCTGAATGTCCGTCTCCTGCGAAGCCCCAGTGAATACTGGTTGTCCCAGAAAATCGATCCACGTAAAGTTTTCACCGAGCAAGACTTCCTTTGCGAGGCGTAGGCCCTGGACGAAGCCATTCAGGTGTAGTTGGCGCAAGGCTTCGACCAATGCTGGCCACCTCGCCTGGCCATGTCCAATGGTTGCGGCGTCTGCCGCACTCGGTAATGAGACATGCTGCGACTTACAGTCGGAAAAGGTCGTTCAGCAGTTCTCATATGAACAGCAGCTCCGCTCAGATGCCCCGCTTCCCAAATTTCAGAGTCGCGCAATGGCCAATCCATAAGAAAGGAATCCAAGCAAGCTAGCAGCCCAGTAGTCATTAAACTGGTTTTACATCCTCTGTGATGTTATCCACGCAAAAAAAAAAAACATTTTCAATTTTTGGTGGCAAACCAAAAATGGCACATGTCACAGGTTTCTCTGGAAAGCATTAATGTTTTGACATGCTGCATCTAGTTGTAAGTTTTGCGGGTTTCGCAGCACATCTAATGGTGTGTTTAAGAGGCAGAACCTATTTGTACCGGGGGGGCCCCAAATAATCGGCCACCGATTCCCTAAGGCTTTTCGGCACCAAAACGGGACCCCTCAACGCACATTCTTTTGCATGCGTGAGTTGCAATCACGGAGAAATCTTCCTTTAAAATTGGGGTTTGCGCCGCCCCTATGTACAGGCCCGTCAACGCCGCCGGCTCGCTGGGCCTAGTCAGCGTCGTCCGCCGCAGGGCCTGTGCACCAAAACGAGCAGGAAAAGCAATCCGAAGCTGTTGCAAGAAACTGCCTTCTAGGTCTGCATCATCGGCAGTTGCACCACACTCACGCCCGCCTGCCAATAGCCAATAAATCATGCGCAAGACAAGCGAGCGCAAACCACACGCACGCACACACACACACACACACACCAATCGAAGCTGTCCCCAGCCACCGCCTTGCGAGTCTGCATTGACGGCAATGGCGCTAGGGCCTGCCCGCAGAAAAAGACAGCAGGCAATCGACACCGCTTGAGGCCACTGCCTTCCAAGTCAACATCAACCACCATGGCCCCACGCCCACCTACCAAAGAGTCACGCCGGAAACAAGCTGCAAATCTGCTCTAGTGACTCCAGTCGAACCTGTCTGATTTCTTAGGGCACTGCCATCCAAGTCCACATCACCAGCCGCTGTAGGGCCTGCCCTACCTTCCGACCTACCTGCCTACCTACCTACCTGCCTGCCTACCTACCTACCGACCTGCCTACCTACCTACCTACCTACCTACCTACCTACCTCCCTACCGACCTACCTCCCTACCTACCTACTTAC